AATGCACTGATTTTGGCCAGGCTTAAGCAAAAGAACTTCTCGTGCAACCATAGCTTCGCACTTCAAAACATGCACCGAGTAACGACTTTTGAGGCGCCTCAAAAATGCATCGAGTAACGACTTTTCAGGCGCCTCAAAAATGCACCAAGTACACGACTTTTGAGGCGCCTCAAAAATGCACCGAGTAACGACTTTTGAGGCGCCTCAAAAATGCACCGAGTAACGACTTTTGAGGCGCCTAAGAAATGCACCGAGTAACGACTTTTGAGGCGCCTCAAAAATGCACCGAGTAACGACTTTTGAGGCGCCTCAAAAATGCACCAAGAAACGACTTTTGAGGCGCCAAAAATGCACCGAGTAACGACTTTTGTAGCGCCTCAAAAATGCACCGAATAACGACTTTTGAGGCGCCTAAAAAATGCAGAAACCGCTCGCATCCCCAAAATGTTGCTGACCCAAACCTGACCTTGGGTCGAATCTGGCCCTAAGCTAACCCGAAAGTGACCCCAAAGTAACTTTGGGGTCAGAATTTCAAATCAGGTCAAGTTCAGGTTAGGGTACGTTCCTGGCGCGTGTCAAACTTCCGGCCAAACTTCGTGTTTTCCGAGCCAGGGGCAAATTTTTTAGGGAAGACCCGAAGTGGGGCGAGCTGTGGGGCGAGCTTCGTGTCATCCCGGGAAGACCGGAAGTTTGACACTAGCCAGGAACGTACCCTTAGTGAGTTTTTCGACCCAAAAGTAACCTGACGCGCACAACCCTTGGGGATCTGGGGATGCGGGTTCGATACTTGTCGCTGGCAGTTCTCCTCCAATTTTCTATTGAATGTGCGGAAAACAACAAGCAACACACACTAGAATGTTTGAATGGCTATGGCTGGTATCGATCTCATTACCTTGAGAACCGACGGTAGTCATTCTTAACAATTGGGCTAATCAAGCTGAAAACTTATGAAGGTTGTTCTCCTCCTCTTTCTACTGCTGCATTGAAAATGCGCAATACGCGAGGTTCGAACCCATTACCTCCCGATTGACAACTCGAACACCAACCACTGCGCTATCTTCACTTTCTCGTTGGAATGCATTTTTTCATAAAAAAAACAAAACATATCAATAGTAAGAACAAATGCCTTGCAGGATTCGATCCCCTTAACTTCATATCAACGCTCGAACAATGAACCACTATCCCAAATTCTCACAACATTAGCCGTTTGTAATTTATCCTATTAATAATATTTACGACGAAATCAAATCTGGCTAGGGTTTCAAATTTCATTGTCCTTCTGGTGGTGTCCACCAACTTCACTTCCCAATATTTCGCATTTAGATCTACCTGCTCCAATCTTGAATCTTAGAGATTTCACTAGCCCTTCCCTCTACCAGCTACCTTGAGCGCTTTCTTAAAATTACCCCTACCCAGGGCTGATTTTATCAGACTAAAATAGTCTGATTGTCTGAAATTTCAGGGTATTTTCCTACGGATCCTGATTTTTCAGGGTTGTAAGGTTTTGAAACATGAGTGCTTCAGACTTCCTTGTTTTTGGATACTGAGAATTTCAGAGTAGTGACTTAACCGATAATGGGTCTTCATACTACAGGGACTACGGATCCTGAAATTCGGATCTGTACTTTTTGCGTACCTTCCGCAAGGTACTAAAAACTTCACCGCGCTATCACGCGCAAAATCTGTACTTGGCACTTTTGCCACACTTTTCCCTTGGAATTCTACCACTTGGCTCGGTGTTTCACTTACACTCACGTGGGACCATCGCTGTAGCTACGCGGTGTCAGCGAGGGAAACACCGTATTTGATTTCGCCATGTGAAGTCTGAGTACTTCAGACTTGTGTTTTTGCGGAACCTGGAAAATCAGAGTAGCAATTTTCTGTGAAATATGCCTCAGACTATTTTTTCTCAGACCCCCCAGAACGTCAGACTGGATTTTTTTGAATAGTCAGCCCTGCCCCTACCCCGCCCTCTTTCCATTTCTATCTGTCCTAATTGCAGGCTTCGATTACTCTCAGCAACAGCTACCTTTCTAGGGCGCGACGGGAGCTGCTACGTCGCGAGCAGCTAAGGGACGCGACGGGCGTTGCGTCGAGCATCTAAGGGACACAACGGGCGCGACTACGTCGTGGCAGCTTAGGGACGCGCCGGGCGCTGCGACAAGAGCCGCTAAGTACGCGCCTTACTGCTATTTCCCATTGTTAACAATCTGGGTTTCTTTTTTTTTCAAGTGTTCGCTTCTAATCGAAATTATTATTGCATTCTATTACAGGTACATTTGTGTGGCAGGAAGCAGTGTCATCTATACTCAAGATTCACAAGCTTGTTTCACGTTTATATTACGTGATGAATATGTCTTTTTGTTTTGTTTTTTTTACGAGTCCAATTTTTTTCTATTTTTTGCTTCCCGCTATGAACCTTCTGTGGCAGAAAGCGAGTACCATCACAGGGGGCGATTCTTCAGTGACAAAACGCTAGTTAACTATGGTGATTCATCTGTTTTTTCAGCGGTGATGTTATGTCAAAGAAGTATACCAATCTGTGTTTCCCCACAGCAATCTCTTAAAGCCGTCTTTCATTGCAGATTGTTGGGTCATTTTCCAGACGTTGCAATACATTCTATCTTTCCGCCATTGAGATATATAAATTCACCTATCCTTGCAAATTGTTGTAAGCTTGTTTCATGTCAGCTTTTACTTAGTCTCTATATTCAGGTACATATATTTTGTGAAGATTATGTTGGCTAAACTAAGCATCGCCACCATTTCCGCGTCGCCTTCACTTTCCGCCCCTTATAACAACGTGACATGGAAACAAGCACGTGAAGATTATTTTTACTATGCCATGATTCATCTTATTTTGGGGCACAGAGCAATGAAGGTGATGTTCCAAATTATAAGGTGATAATTGCTAAATGATTGTTCTGGATTTTATAATCTGTAGCTGGCGCTATCTCATTTGTAACGACATTGACCCTTTAATGTGTGTTGGTTTTGTGTTATCTGGATATTCTCGCTGTGCAGTGATTTATATATTCTGGGGCAACTGTACAAGGCCCTGATTATTACGTAGTCATGCTTATGTTGTTATTTGATGTTCTGTTGTTATATAAGGAAATATATATGATACAAATTAAACAAAAAATGCTTATTACAAAAAAAGAACACACTGTAAAGGGGATAAAATCAGGCCATGTGCTGGCCACGTGTGACCCGAAACTGACCCAAATCTGACTTTTCCCGCCAAATCTTAACCCGTACCTGACCCGTACCTGACTTTTCCCGCCAAATCTTAACCCGTACCTGACTTTTCCCGCCAAATCTTAACCCGTACCTGACCCGTACCTGACCCGTACTTGACCCGAAAGTCACTTTTGGGCTAGCTATCTGACCTCAGACTAACCTAAAGTGTCAGTTCCAAAAGTAACTTCTGGGACAGATTCCCAGATGACCCGAATCTTGCCTGGAAGTCACCTGGAGGTCCCTTTTGGGTCAGTACAATTTAGAGATGCGACGACAGCTACTAGTCTGCCATTCCAATGTGAACCTGTTAGAATCTTAGAATAGAACGAGAATGGTTGTATTGAGCAGCATGAGGAGTACAAGTACCAAACCCTAGAATGTTGTACCCCATATAACATACCCCACTACAGCCTACACAGACTATAGTGTATGAGTTTGACACACCCCCATAGGCAAAGTGGGGGAGAACAAGGGGTCACAAGACCAGTCAAGCAAAGCAAGGCAAAGCAAGCTCAGGGTGGATCACAATGTCACCACACAGTCTGAGCATAAGTTTAAGGCCACAAGGCCAGTTCACATGCAAGGGTACATATATATAACGCTAAACAAGCAAGGGCAGGTATATATATGTAACAGTACAAGCAAGGTCAAGAAGTAAGCAAGTGAGGCAAGGTAGGCACAAGACCTAACAGAGTACAGAAGCGCTGATGATCACAAGGCGCGAGTGCCTTGGTGAAGATATCAGCAGTGTTGGCCTCAGAGGCCACGTAAGCAAGGCGCAGCTGACCACGCTGCTGCAGCTCACGAGCAAGGAAGTAGCGGAGAGCGATGTGCTTCGTTCTGTGCTCCAGTCTGTGCTCCCGACACAAGGCCAGCATGGCCTTGTTGTCTACATAAAGCACTGGAGGAGAACGAGGCGGCTCTCCCAGGTCAGTCAGCAGGTAGGTGAGCCAGCGTAACTCCTATGCAGCCATGGCCCCTGCGTAGATCTCAGCCTCACAACTGGAGCCGAGAACAGAAGACGAGCGGGTAGACCGCCACGAAACAGAGCCGGAGCCAAGGCTGAAGGTGTAACCCTGTGACGACCGCTGCGTAGCCTGGTCGTCAGCCCAAGAAGCGTCTGCGTGACCAGTGAGGACCACTGAACTCTGCCCTCCAAGCACAAGCCCCATGCCCGACGTACTGCACAAGTAGCGCAACACCCTCTTCGCTGCAGCCATGTGCTCTGGTCTGTGTCTCCCAGGAGCAACAAAGCGTGCCAGAATGCTAAGAGGATATGCAAGGTCAGGTCGAGTGCAGGTCATCAGGTACATGAGGCAGCCGACAAGCTCTGGGTACGGGCCACTCGACTCTACGGACTCATCCGAAGGCAGAGCTGAGAGCGAGTGGCGTGTAGGCAGAGGAGTGGCCTGAGGCGAGGAGTACGTGAAGCCGAAGCGCTGAAGGACCTGCTACACCATGTGTGACTGAGTCAGGGTAATGGTGCGCTGTGCTCTGTCCCGGGTGATCTGCAAGCCAAGGTAGCTGCGCAGTTCACCCAGGTCTGTGCACGTGTATCTCTTCTGCAGCTCGGACTTCACGTAGGCAAGTCCAGCAGTGTCAGCTGTAGCAAAGACCAAGTCGTCGACGTACACGAGGATGTAGAACGGCGGCAAGGAAGAGTCGGTGCGCAGAAACAGCGACGGGTCGGCAGTAGAAGGAGCAAACCCAAGAGCCGCAAGTGTAGTCCTCAGTGTGTCGTGCCACTCACGAGGCGCCTAGCGGAGACCGTAGACTGGCCGCCGGAGGCTCCACTGGGTGCCAGGAGGAAAAGTCCCAGTGAAGCCAGGTGGGCGGCGCAGCCAGATCTCCTCGTGTAGGCTGCCCTGCAGGAAAGCTGTGCTGAAGTCAAGAGAGTGCAGCTCGTAGTCTCGGTGAGCGGCTATGTGCAGCAGCACCCGAAGAGTGGTCATCTTCGGGGTGGGAGAGAAGGTCTGAAAGTAGTCAACTCCCTGCCGCTGACTGAAGCCACGAGCCACGTAACGCGCCTTGAAGACAGGCGGAGAACCCGGCGGCCGCTTCACCCTGAAAATCCACATGCCACTGACAATGTTCGCCCCAGGCGGGGGAACCTCGTCAACGTAGGTGCCTGTGGACTTCCAGGAAGCCATCTCTGCGTCCATGGCTGCCTGCCACTGAGAAGAGTAGGGACCCTCTATCGCCTCCGCGTAAGAGCGCGGAGTCGGGATGTCAAGTGCATCCGGGTCTCCCTCAGGGGCAAGCAGCATGGACACGAGATGAGGTGAAGCAGCAGCCAAGCACTGGAACTCCTCCTGCCTGTCCTCAAGGACGTCCGTGCCAAGAGCACACTCACCCCCGACGGACGGAGGACAGACAGACTCAGACTCAGCGACGAGACTGGCAGCGTAGTCTAGGCGACAGCGGGCAGCGAAGTCGACAAGCTCAGCAACCAGAGCAGACGCAGCAGTAGACTCAAAGGAAGGGTCAGTGACAACAGTAGCAAGGAGACGCGTGACAGTAGGACGCGCCGCACGAAGGGAGTCCGACTCAGGGTCAGGAAGGTCAGGAAGAGAGGACGCGGGAGGAGAAGGCAAAGGGGCACGCAGAGGAGCAACGGAAGGACGCAAAGACATCCGGTGCGTACCGGGGACAGGGGGAGGACGCTGACGGGAACCACGACCACTAGTGCGAGCAGCGCGGACAGGCGACGCAGGGCGAGACGCAGGCTCACGACGCTCAGCAAGACCTCCAGTAGGACCAGTGTAGGGAGAAGGAGAAGGAAGCGGGGAGGCCGGCGGTAACTGCGACTCGGACTGGACAGGAGGCGGACACGCTAAGGGAGGAGCAGGACCAAGAGAGGACGGAAGACCAAGAACCTGCTCAAGGAGCGGAACGAAGTACGGCCGTGGCCGCGCAGCTCCACCAGTGCCAGCAGGAACAGCACCAGCACCCCCAACGGGAGCACCAGCACCAGGAGTGCCCCCAGCTCCAGGAGCACCAACTCCAGCACCCTCAGCAGCACCAGCGCCAGCAGCACCTCCAGCGCCAACACCCCCAGTAGCTCCAGCTCCAGTCAGACCACCAGAAGACGCAGCAGCTCCAGCTCCAGGAGCACCAGCAGCACCAACGCCAGCAGCACCAGTAGCACCACCAGCTCCAGTAGGAGGAGCACCCGTAGGCCCAGCAGCTCCAGTACCCTCTGTACGAGCACCTCTGGGACCCTCTGCACCAGCACCCTCAGCAGCAGCAGAACCTCCAGCGTCCGCAGCACCACCAGCTCCAGCAGCACGCCGCCAGCGCCGGGCGAACCACTCACGCAGCTCCTGTGGAGAGAGCAGCTCCCGCCGGGACGAAGCACCCGAAGAACTGTCAGGCTCAGCACCACCAGACGCCACACGAGCAGGTCCAGCACCCTCAGGCTCCGTACCCCGAGACACGGCACCCCCAGGCGCAGCACCCCCAGGCTCAGCACCCTCAGGCTCAGCACCCCCAGGCTCAGCACCCCCAGGCTCAGCACCCCCAGGCTCAGCACCCCCAGGCGCAGCACCCCCAGTCGCAGCACCCCCAGACTCAGCACCCCCAGGCTCAGCACCCCCAGCAGCACCAGAGTCAACAGCTACCTCGACAGGCTCGACTGCATCTACCTGGGACACACCTGAGGGAGCAGGACCCTGAGGGGGGAGGGGGTCTACCGGAGGGGGACCTGGCGTAAGGAAGAGCGGCGGGGGAGGGAGGGACGCAGTGCGGTAGGGGAAGAGACGGTAGTAGGGAACCGACTCGTCAAAGGTGACGTCCTGGGAGGACAGAACACGGCGCGAGGTGGGGTGGTAGAACTGCCAGCCAGGCGCGTCAGGAGGGAAGCCAAGGAAGACGCAGGGAACAGCACGAGAGGACAGCTTGTCCGCAGACAAGTCGCGGACAAACGCCCTAGATCCCCAGACCCGAAACGCAGACGCATCGCCAGCCTTCCCCGTCCACAGCAAAGCAGGGGAGGTCTCCAGCTTGGAAACCCGGGGGTGGAGGTTGATCTGATGCGCCGCGTACCGAACCGCAAACGGCCACAGAAAATGGGGAGCAGCCGCATGGATCATGGACGTACGAGCGACGTCCATGATCATGCCAATGCGGCGCTCAGCAATCCCATTCTGCTGCGGGGAGTCCGGAAGCGTGAAGGTCTGGCGGATGCCTCGTGCACGACAGAAGGCCCGCAGAAGGTCAGAGGAGAACTCTCCGCCTCTGTCGGAGTGCAGACGCAGAACAGGAAAGTCCGAGCCGAAACTCTCCTGGAGCTGGAGACGAGCTGCGCGGATCCAGGCGATCAACACCTCAGTGACGTCACCCTTGCTGCGCAAGGGGAAGACTGCGGTGTAACGCGAGTAGTCGTCAACCACCAGCAGGAAGTAACGCTCCTGACCCTGTCCACGGACGCGGGCTGGGCCCCACACGTCCATGTGAAGCGTCTGCAGCGGAGCCTCTGTCGGAGGAAACTCGGAGGAGTGAGGGGCAGCGCGCTGCCGCCCCTCGACGCAGGGAACGCAGGTGGGGGCAGGCCCCGGAGGAAGGGGAGGGAGGGACCGGGGGAGGCCAGAGACAAGAAGACGGGACGCCATGCCTCGAAGACGAGGCAGGGAGGGGTGACCAAGGCGGTGGTGCCAGAGGAGAGTCCGGTGGGACAGGAGACGACACGAGCAGGGGGCAGACTCAGGACCAGACCGAGACGCCGCAGCAAACACCTGACCCGACGCTGCTACCTGAGCAGACTCAGTGACTGGAGGAGACTCAGTGGTCAGTGTGTACAGGCTCGACCCCGGCCGACGGGTAAACGTGGCCAAGTGTCGGCCCGTGTCCGCACACGTGCAGTGGGTCACCCGCTGACGCGCAGGGGTGAACTGGTCAACTCCTGCATCCTGTAGGTCAGCACCCGCCACCAAGTTCGTAGAGAACGAGGGGAGGTAAAGACCCGACAGGGAGCCAGACGGGACCGCTGGACACGGTAGGACAGTGGAGTAGTGGGCAAGGACAGGACCCCCAGAGGGGTCTGCCAGGGAGACTGCAACGGGCCGACTGAGCGGCGTGAGAGTGGTGCAGTCTCGAAAGAAGGAGCGGGAAGCACCCGAGTCAAGGGTGAAGGTGTGGGTGTCCGGTGACGACGCAGCACCTGAGAGCGCAGACTCACCGGCACCTGGGGCGGCAGACGCACTGGCACCTAGAGCAGCAGCCTCACCAGCACCTGGGGTAGCAGCCGCACTAGCACCTAGAGCGGCAGCCTCACTCACAGGACACGGCAGCTGCACCTGTCCATCACCAGAAGCTCCCGACCGACCCACTCCAGAGCGACTACCACTACGGCCACCCCGACAGCCCCAACTGGCGTACCACTCACGAAGCTGCTGGGGTGAAAGAGGACACGGCAGCTGCACCTGTCCACTACCAGAAGCTCCCGACCGACCCACTCCAGAGCGACTACCACTACGGCCACCCCGACAGCCCCAACTGGCGTACCACGCACGAAGCTGCTGGGGCGAAAGAGAACACGGCAGCTGCACCTGTCCACTACCAGAAGCTCCCGACCGACCCACTCCAGAGCGACTACCACTACGGCCACCCCGACAGCCCCAACTAGCGTACCACTCACGAAGCTGCTGGGGCGTGAGGGACTCACGCGCACGACCCTGGAGCTGCATCTGGCCTCGCCAGGAGCAGCAGTAGCAGCAGTAGCGGCAGTAACAGCAGTAGCAGTAGCAGTGGGAGTAGAAAAGGCAGTAGCAGCAGTAGCAGTGCTGGCAGGGCAATGCTCACCAGTGGTCGGCGCGGCAGGCGCAAGACGGTGGCGACCGCGGGGCCGCTACAACTGCAGGGCGGGGCCGGGCCGCAGCAGGGAGCTCCGCGGCAGCTGCTGCAGGGCGAGGCCGGGCCGCGACGGCAGCTGCTCCAGGTGCCTGGGGCGGCTGCTGCAGTGGCGAGCGGCTCCAGGGGCGGCTGCTGCAGTGGCGGGCGGCTCCAGGGGCTGCTGCTGCAGTGGCGGGCGGCTCCAGGGGCTGCTGCTGCAGTGGCGGGCGGCTCCAGGGGCTGCTGCTGCAGTGGCGGGCGGCTCCAGGGGCGGCTGCTGCAGTGGCGGGCGGCTCCAGGGGCGGCTGCTGCAGTGGCGGGCGGCTCCAGGGGCGGCTGCTGCAGTGGCGAGCGGCTCCAGGGGCTGCTGCTGCAGTGGCGGGCGGCTCCAGGGGCTGCTGCTGCAGTGGCGGGCGGCTCCAGGGGCTGCTGCTGCAGTGGCGGGCGGCTCCAGGGGCTGCTGCTGCAGTGGCGGGCGGCTCCAGGGGCTGCTGCTGCAGTGGCGGGCGGCTCCAGGGGCGGCTGCTGCAGGGGCGGCTGCACCAGGGGCGGCTGCTGCAGTGGCGGGCGGCTCCAGGGGCTGCTGCTGCAGTGGCGGGCGGCTCCAGGGGCTGCTGCTGCAGTGGCGGGCGGCTCCAGGGGCTGCTGCTGCAGTGGCGGGCGGCTCCAGGGGCGGCTGCTGCAGTGGCGGGCGGCTCCAGGGGCTGCTGCTGCAGTGGCGGGCGGCTCCAGGGGCTGCTGCTGCAGTGGCGGGCGGCTCCAGGGGCTGCTGCTGCAGTGGCGGGCGGCTCCAGGGGCGGCTGCTGCAGTGGCGGGCGGCTCCAGGGGCTGCTGCTGCAGTGGCGGGCGGCTCCAGGGGCGGCTGCTGCAGTGGCGGGCGGCTCCAGGGGCTGCTGCACGGGCAGGTGGCGACGCCGCGGGCAGGGCGACGCGGCGGGCAGGTGGCGACGCCGCGGGCAGGCGACGACGCCGCGGGCAGGCGACGACGCCGCGGGCAGGCGACGACGCCGCGGGCAGGCGACGACGCCGCGGGCAGGGGCTGCGTCGCGGGCAGGCGACGACGCCGCGGGCAGACTACGGCGCCGCGGGCAGGCGACGACGCCGTGGGCAGGCGACGACGCCGCGGGCAGGGGCTGCGTCGCGGGCAGGCGACGACGCCGCGGGCAGGGGCTGCGTCGCGGGCAGGCGACGACGCCGCGGGCAGGGGCTGCGTCGCGGGCAGGCGACGACGCCGCGGGCAGGGGCTGCGTCGCGGGCAGGCGACGACGCCGCGGGCAGGCGACGACGCCGCGGACAGGGCGACGCGGTGGGCGGCGAGAGCCTGCAGAGGCGGCATGCGGTCGGGCAGAGGCTGCGCGCGGGCCTGACGGGTCTGCAGGGGCGGCTCTCGGGCGTGACGGGCCTGCAGAGGCGGCTCGGGGGGGGCCTGACGGGTCTGCAGAGGCGGCTCGGGGGCCTGACGGACCTGCAGGGGCAGCTCGAGGGCGCACGAGGGCGCACGAGGGCGTACGAGGGCGTACGAGGGCGCACGAAGGCGCACGAGGGCGCACGAAGGCGCACTAGCAGAGAAAGGCGCACGAGGGCGCACGTAGGGTAGGGCGCACGAGGGCGCTTCTAGCGGAATAGTGGGCCCATTGTAGAAAGCGGTCCTAGGTAGCAACCTAGGCTCGTGATACCATGTTAGAATCTTAGAATAGAACGAGAATGGTTGTATTGAGCAGCATGAGGAGTACAAGTACCAAACCCTAAAATGTTGTACCCCATATAACATACCCCACTACAGCCTACACAGACTATAGTGTATGAGTTTGACAGAACCATCTTGTGAGTTTAACCTGACGGTAGAAAGTAGTAGTTGCAGTGCTACAGATAAGACTCGTTTACCGATAATGCGACTCGGAGCCGGCCAGGGTGGCGCTTCTGCAAAGGAGGGAGAAGAAGTCTTGGATTCTACCCTAAAGCTTCCAGCGCCGTCTCATTTGGGTGACTGAGGTGGAAGTGTGCTACACTTCTACCGCATTTCAGATCTATGTTTCCCCAAGTGGACTGTGATTGGTATGTCCCACCAAGGACGTGCGTGCCCCACAAGTAGGGATGTGGACACCCGAAGAATCTATGTTCCCCCAGCCGAACGAGAAGATCAAGTTGCGGCACACGTCGTTTACAGCTCATCCACCAATGTTCGGGTTGGTCAGCGGTTCAAAACGGTGAAGAGAACTAAGTGTGCATTATACTGTAGTCCACCTCTTACAATGAACTGAAAGTGGACCAAGTCTGACAGGCCACGACGCCATTTGGCACATTGTTTTTCGCCAGTCACCAAACAACCTTATACCATAAGCTTCAATTAGTTTTTACAGGAGGAATGATGCGAGTAAACGAAGATTGCACCAAGTCGAGCAAAATGAGAACGAATGTGAGAAACAAGCAAACGGTAACGCGGTGCGTGCGATAAAGCTTGTGCGATGTTGGTAGCAAGGCTTGGGCTAGTCCCAAAGTGTAAGCCGACTCGGGCCAGTCCAACAAATTGTGATTTGAGAAATGAGACACGTAGAGGCAACGAAACACTAATGGCAATAACGGGCGAAGAACGGTTGGTCTTCTAAGCGATGTTGAAGTGCGCGATAAGAAATGTTGAAAAAAATATTACCCTCCGGCAGTATCCAAGAAGCCCCTCCGCTACGTGAGTACATGTATAGAATCATCGGCTTCATCTAAACCTTGAGTACCTTGCTATTTTTAATGCTTCCTAGGGGCATCCAGCTAGCTGTCTTCAAAAAGGGTGTAATTGTGCAAGCGGACACGGAATTTGATCCTTCGAAAACCTTGGGGGTGGCATCCACTATAGCTCATAAACTTCTTGGGGTTGATGGTGGGCTCCGATGTACGGAGTGTCATCAAAGGTGGTGGGCGATAGCGTGGCAGTTAGCTTGTGGTCAGGATGAATGGTCAAAATAGGTTGTCGGTGGGTGAAAAGAGATGGGCGGTGATGTGCGTAATTATGTGGCTTATCTAGAAAGGGCCACAGTGGCGCGGGCGAACTTTTTGGCGCGACGAGCAGGCGTAAATTTTTAGTTTCAGGCAAAATGTAGTCTCTTTACTGGTATGTTACGGGGCCGCAATGGCAATTGACGTTCTTTTAGCGATGACGTTTGCTTTTTTAATTGCTTGTACAGCGCGTGTTTGAAGTGTCTGCATAATTTTTGCGAACTGTTGCACTCGTGGTGTCTGGTTGTCGAGACTCGGCGTTACGGGCACAGTAGGGTTCTGTCCATACTTGACGTAGAACAGTGACTGGTGTGTGATTGCTAACGTGGCGTTGTTGTAGGTAAACTTGATAAGCGGCAATTGTTGTTCGTCCTCTTGGTTTGTCCGTCGGTCTCAGGGTGATAGGACAAACTGAACTGTAACCGAGTCTTGAAATGCTCCAAAATATTTTTTTCCAAAAAATGCTTGCAAACTTTGTAGTTTTTTCATATCTATTGTAGGCGAACGACGGTTGCGATGAACAAGCGAGCTTTTTTTGTTAGCGGATATTAAATTCTTGCACATAGCCAAATTATCCATCTTGGTCACTCAGTCAACGCTGACCATGACCGCGTCGTTACCACTAAGGCTCGGAGATAATTCCATGGACGAAGTCCATCATTACTCGCTACCAGGCATGTTCGGGTGGCGGGATCGGTTGAAGTTTATCTGCTTTTTCTTGTGCGAACTCTTCATCACCTGACATGTGGGGCATGATCCCACGTTGTGTTGTACGTAGGTCAATGGCTCAAACCAATGCTGTTGCTGTCACATATTCTCAACCCCGGAATGGCCCGAGATAATCCCGTCGTGTGCCTCTCACAGTAGCAATTCCCGTAGTAGTAAGTATGCCAGTACTCAGGTATGGTTGGTGCTCCTTTTTACGTAATAACCTCCTTTAGCTTCTATCATCTGCTTCAAATTTCCATTGGTGAAAAATGGGTCGGTACGGTAACCATAGGTAAATAGTCTGGTCAATAGCAGGTTGGTGTATATGAAATCTATGGCATGGAGTTGGGCTGTGGGGCGGATAAGGGTGTCTGCAACTTTTCAAGCACCTTTCTTGTATGTTAGGACATAGTGAAAGTTGGGCCCCAGATAGTCCAACAACCGTATCTGTCGTGAATTAAGATTTGGTCGGGCACTATAGCAAGCGATGGTCTATTCGTACTGTCACGTCTACTTCTGACAGGTAGCACTGCCACACATTGAATGTGTGCATGGTCGCGAGCATCCCGTGGTCGCGTATCGTATAGTTATGCTCGCGCGAGTGAAGCTTGCGGATTTCGTACGCGATTGGCTGAAGGCTGTTTCGAAGTCCTTCAACAGTACGACTCCAGCGGTGATGACACCTGCGTCGGTGACGGCCTCGAATGCAAGACTGGTAGATGGCACGCAGTTGGTGATACGGGAACGAGAGGACTGAGTTTGAGATCTTTCGGTGGTAACAGCATGTTCTCTTAGGGGATGCCGGCAACCACCCTGGACGGAACTGACTTCTTAAATGGTCGTGATTGGATGTGATTGTCAAACATTATATATGTTGTATTTGTGTAGGCTGTAGTGGGTTAGCCTATAGGGGGGTCACAACATTAGGGTTTCATATTTGTACTCACAATCCTTGCTAGTCCATCATTCCAGTCCGTTATTTCTGACATGGTTTCAGAGCAGGTCCTTCGCTAGGACCGTTCTTAGGGCCCACCGTTACCTACATACCTACCTACCTACCGTGCGCCTCGTGCGCCTACGCGCCCTCGTGCGCCTCCTACCTACCGCGCGCGCGCAGCCCGCCAGCCGCCCGCGCGCGACTCGACTTTTTTTTAGCGCG